GAGAAGAGCGCGGCGAGAGACAGACGAGAAGAGCGCGGCGAGAGAAGAAGAGTGAGGCGAGAGAAGACGATCGCGGATGATTTAGTTTAGAAACGAAATGCAAAAGCACTTGTTTGGCAGTATTTTGGATTTTGAAAAGGGTGTTGACTTTTGCCGTTTAAGGTGATTTTGGAAGTTTTTTTTAAACATTCGTTTCTTATTTAATTGGTTCCACAGTGTTTGCTGATTTTTACTTTATTTAAACTTTGTGCAATTTATTTATTTTATTTGACATCAAGGTGTATGCCGTGCCTCCAAGCATTCTTACTCGTTTTGCTAATATACGTTCTACGTTTATTTATTTTTGGTTATATATTATACATGTTTACTTAGCCTATTTCCAGTTTTGTATAGGTATTTAAACTTTATGTAAGTTATTTGTTATTTTATATTAGGCATAGCCTGCCCTATAGCATGGTGTATTTTTATTCGTTTTGTTAATAAAAGTTCTATGTTTTATATATCGGCTAAAGTGAGTTTGACGTTGTATTTTGTTGTTGCATTCAAGCACTTGACGCCAAATTGCTACTATTTGAAAGTGAAAGTTAAATGCGCACGGTGCTTTTAAGCTATTTAAAAGCGAAGGAAAGCGAGGAAAAGAGGGAACGCCCCCACGGTATGCCGGTGTTGTCACACGACGATTAACCGGTGGGGAAATTTCCTCACCATCGCAACCCTAGTCTTTTGCCCGAATCATAGGTGCTCCTTCCTCTGTTAATACACAAGGAACTCCCAAAGGGTGGCAGACAGAGATGGCAGCTCCGTATCTCGAGGTAGAAAGTAATTAAATTCCTCATGTAAAGCTCAGAGCTGTAAGAAACAGGTGGGTGATGAACTCTATGCAACCGCTGGAAACAAACGCCGCGAGTCACACATTCACACGCAGAGTCAGGGACTATTATCCCCTTGCACACTATAATTACCCACACTCCCGTCTGTTTGCGCTTCTTATTTGTTTGTTGTTGGAGGGTGGCACCGTTCCTCATTTTAACAGAGGGGATAATTACATGCCAGCGATGCATTAAGGAGCTGGGAGAAATCCAAGACCCCTTCCAAGCATCCGCGGCCGGATCTGTGCACTTGCTGCTTCTTGCTCGAGAGGACGATCAAGCTTTTACAGCAGACATGAAACTGGGTTTTGAAGGGCCCTATGATTTCGATGCGGAAACATAATTGCGGAATCCGGTCATAAAAATGGAACTTAAAGTGTAAACTTTCTTCCATGATTTTTAAGAGTAAACCTCTGTTGTGCAGTACTTTTAGCAAAAAACAAAAGGAATTAAAAATTCTCTGATTACGTTTTAAAAGAGTAATTCAATTGTTAACTGTTTAATTACCACTGTTTTTTTCATTATACATTTTTATTAAAATCATAATCCAGAAAAAGTAAACAGACAATACAAGTCCAGGAAAAAAAAATGACAGGCCTCAATTATTGAAATTTTTTATTTACTATCGTGACAAAATATTTTAACTATTAAGTTTTATGAATTTCATTGATTAGACATGCTTTTTGATTATTAAAATTTAATTAACCCATTAAAATGGAATCCAGAAAAATTACGACTGAAATAATACATAAATAATAAATAAAAAATTTGTTTCATAAACAATGAAATAAAACATTTTGTAATTACATTTTTATTTATAAAATCATAAATATATATAAATCCAAACATGTTTTCTTTCATTATTTATATATAATAATCATAAATCCAGAAATGTAAACAGACAAGAATTTCCGTGTAAAAAAAATAATAATTAAAAAAACAAAAAACTTAAAGATTGATTAATTCAAATGATTAGACATGCTTTGAGTATTAAAATTTAATTTAAAAATAAATAAATAAAACGGATTATACAGGGCCCTAGTTTTGGTGCAAGTAGAGCTGAGCTATTTAATTAAATCAGAATATTTCTGTTCAATAGTCAACGTGCGTCTCAAACCCTTCCTACAGAGACCTGAAGTGTTGTGACCGTGTGCCCTTTATTTATCAGCTCTATCTGAGCGTTAACTGTGGCGATGTGTGCTCTATCTTCCGTGTGGGAGCGCGTCTTACCTTAGAGCAGCTGAGATGCGTATGAGTAAGTCTCTGCGTGCATCTTACCTAGGTTGTGTCTCTTGTTTTTGGCGTGCTCGTGGATGTGTTTCTTGCTGAAGCAGCCGAAGAACACACAATGGAGACAGGAGTGAAGCCGATTTAAATGAGCTCCACACAGGTGACATATACATGACTTCGCCTAGGGAGAAAAGAGAGAGGGATACAGGCGTTTAGTTAGGTTTAACATTCAAACTAGTTGGTAGACTGTCTGAACGACTAGTTAATTAGCAGCAGTTAAATCCCATCGATTTTTTCAAAGAAGAAACCTCTTCAGATGCCATTTACGGAAAACAACTACGGCCCTACAAAAGGGTAAATAGGTGAATAACTACAACATTTATTGTACTAAACTGTCAGTATCCTATTGCTGAAGGTTGTGCTTCGATGGCTATAGTAACAGCGCTTTAAAGAGATATGAATTTAAAAAGACATCATCTTTGTATTTTGCATGTTGCATTTACTTTTCTTTCCCATTTTAGATTAAATTAAACCATGCAAAAATTAACATGACATCTTTGAAGACAGTTTTAGCAACACTACCAATGTCACTAATATAAATGAACTTTAACGATTCTTAAAACCATGTATTATACTTAATATTAATAACACTGCAAAAACTGAAAATGGTCATTTTTTTCTTTAAATTAAACAATAATATATAAATTAACAAATTACACTTTAGTTTAAAAAAAATATACTTAAAACAAATATTTAATAAAATAAAATAATGCAAAATATATATATAAAAAAGTAATTATATTCATTAATAAGTTATATATTACTGGGTCGAAGATGTTAAGACGTCCTCGTCAAAAGAAATTTACAAAAGTGATTTTATGTCCATAGAAAGCACATTAAATGTCAGTAAAGTGTCTACTTTTAAGGTTTCAAATACGTTTTTGGAGAATAAAATGTCAAAATTTGGTTGAAATAATGTTACATTGTCGTTCAGTGTAAAAAATTCAAACAGCATGCTTATTCTGACGTGTACATATTAAAATATATAAAACAATAAGGGAGCATATTAAATTTTATTGTGTTTTAAATGAGTAAAAATTATTTCTGACAAATGGGCAAAACCTAGGATCGTGGCAAACTTTAAAAATGTAAAATTACAACTAATTAGTATTTGGGGTGAAAGTAATTAGTCTGTTAATATGTCATAAATTGATTTTTGTTGTAAATATGCCTGACGAGATTGTTACACTGAATGACATTTTAGTGGGTCTCTTCTGTAAATCAGGGGGAAATGTATGATATTTATTCTATGCTCAAAAAAACAAAATTGCAAATAAATTAAACAGAACTTTGAAAAAAAATGTTAAACATTGTTAATGTTGATGGCATAACCTCAATTTTTAATCTCAACATTTTCACTATAAAAATTACAAGCTGCAACATTACATACAGTATTGTCAATGTTTATTATAAACCATTTATCCATGCACTTTTTTTTATTCATATAGTGCAAATGAACTGAAAACAAATATATATATGCATAGATTAATCATTTATAATTAACACTAAAATCAAGTTTCATCCTAAATTTTTTTTTTTTAATTCAAGAAGCGGTTTCACTCGAATATGCATCACAGCAGAGAAGACGATTGCAATTTCGGTTTCTCATGCCACCTTGAAATATTAATGCAAAAAAAGAAAAAAAAAGAAAACAGATTTAACTAGTCAACCTCCAGAAGATTACAACACACCGCCCGACTATCCCAACAGCATGATTTCATGCTTCAGTACTGTAGTGCTGGTTTCAGATCCAGTCTTTAACAGCTCGCTCTGCTTTTACCTCCAAACTAGCTATTTTTGTATAGACCCCCTTCCGCTATTCCCCGATGACAGAGAATAAGCATCAACCTACCGCGCTAAACGACAGGTGAGGCGTGAACGCAGACAGATCTGGAGCACCGGGTTTCACTGCAATCGCATTTAAAGAAAAGCCACCGTTCTCTGAAGTCGGCCTGAATGTCAAGAGCTAATATAACCAAAAGACACCTTAACGTTTCTGTATAATGCATTCGAGCGGAAAGCAAGCAGATGTGACGGAGAGAGAAAGAGAAGGGAAAGGCCTTGTATTGCCTGTCTTTCATCAGAGTAATTTGATCGGAGACGTGGAGGGAGAAAGGCGTGTGGTAAGGTGAACTCTGCAAACATGTGATACAGTGCAAAAACACAAAGCAGCGCAACAAACATCTTCATGGGATCGCCGGAGAATGACGGGGCTGTTATCGGTTTGGCGAGCTGCAATAAAGGCTAATATCATTAAGCATTACAGCAATATGATATTTAAAAGTTCCACTCGCGTTATGATAGGGAAGCATAACGAAACGCTTCATCGGACGGCCGAGCATCTCGACCCAGATCCACAGCTTCACCACGCCCAGATACTAAAACACTGATGTGCACTACACTTCTGCAGCGCACTGCGCTAGTATGCAAATGATCTGTAGGAATAGCAAAGCTGCCAAAATGTGCATTATAGCACAGGGAATACAGTGCATTAAATCCATTTCTCGTGGGACAAAAGCCACCAGTTTATTATATTGCATTAAAAAGAACTGCTTTTATTAAACCTGCAACATGTAGCATTGCATAATGCATGCAGTTTCACGTACTATTTTTAAAGAACAGTAGGCAGTAAACGGTACAAAAGGCTCTACAGTGCATTGCACACTTCTTAATATTAAGCCTAAAACGTGTTTTAATGTCACTGTTGATGAGGACTGTATGATCTCTGTATAATATCAGTCTGTAAATGTGAGATATTTAAAGTGCACCTGAAGTATACTAGCAATAGTTCTACTTTAGCACAATCAAATATACTTCAGTGTGTCTTTAGTTGGACTTCAGCACTACTTCCACACAATTAAAGTGCATTAAGTACAAAATTAGTTGCTCCAATTTAGCAGACTTTAAGAATACAAAAAGTACAATTGCAGGGTATTTTTATTAAGAACATAAATACGTAAATGTATACTTGGCATGAAATAAATGCATTTCAAATACATAAAAAAAAGAGATATAATAAAAATAAAAACTCTCGAATATCTAACCTTATATGCAAGCTACGTTTCACACTGCTGTGTAAAAGCACCTACATACACTAATGCAGTAAACTGAACGCTAGCGGTTCATTCTGAACATCTCGGACTCGCTCTACACACGTCATTTCTTCTTTGCATCTACACCGCTCCTCCTCCATCCTCAGATGTCTCCTACTCTCTCTCTCTCATCCTACAGTCCTACATCCTACACGGAGAGCATCAGCAGGTCCCCTCTGCGCTCTCCTGCTGGTGTTAATGCTGTAATGTTGAATGAGATGGTGCATTGATCAGGACCTCATCTGAGACGGGGGCGTGGGGCTGAAGAACAAGGCAAAAAGGATCAGCTTCCTCCTACAAGAGCCACTGCAGGCTCCACATTCACGAACGCACATACAGTGTCTATTTTTGCAGCTTGCTGGCATACATTTGTAACAGAAAACCATTAAAATGGCAACGAGGCACCAAATGCCTGCAGTCACCTGCAAGGGAAAAAATAAATACTGAAATTCTAAATATATAAAATAACATGGAGAAAAAATTTAATAATAAATAAACAAAATAGGAGGGATAAATAAAATTAAATAAGGCAAAATATACTAAAATAAATAACGCAAAAATAAACTAAAATAGGAGAGATAAACACAACATCAAAATGTAAAACAAAATAGGACAGATAAAAAATAAAAATACTATAGAAAGGATAAATTAAAATACAAAAAATCAAATAGGGATACATTAAATAATTAGGAGGAATAAATTTAAAAATAAAACAAAATAACTATAATAGGAGGGATAGATAAAAATTGTAAAAAAAAAGTGAATAAATAAAATTAAAATGAATCCAAATAAAATAGTAAATATAATTGTGGATAAATAAGGTATACTAAATGGTAAAAGTGTTTGATGGTAAAAAAAAAAAAATGGTTAAAGTTTGTTTATTTTAATAAACTAGACGAAAAAGATAAATAATGCCCTGAAATATTTTTATTATACACACACACATACACATACATATATATCTATCATAGACTGTATAAAAACATGGACGTAGTGTCCGTGACGTCACCCGTAGATTTCCGAAGAGCATTTTTTAAGCCTAAAGTGGGCGTAGCCGGCCAATCGCCATCTTGGCAGCGAGTCACTCCCAGATAATCGAAAATGGGCAAAGAGGCGGGAGCTGGCTGCTGAAACCACGCCCACCTAGCTCGACGGCGGTGTCAGCAGCGGCAATACACCCGTCACTCAAGTAGCCACGCCCTTAATTATGCAGAACTTTAAGCCTTAATATAATTTAAACGGATGAGTTATAAAATATTGACCCCCTCACAGCTGTCATGAAGGGCAAAATTAGCTATATAGACCAAAACCACTTTTTGTACCAGGCTGTAAAAAAAAAATAATTCTGCTGTAAAGTTGGGCATTTTAACACGGCGAGTCTATGGGACTAACTCCCTTTGGAGCCCGCCTCTAGCGGCCAGTCGATGAATTACAGTTCAAGTCACTTCCGTGTTGGTTTCACGAGAGAGAGCGGGAGGTTGCCTCTTGATATACACATATACGGTATATACACACATATATACAGTATATACACATATACAGTATATACACACACACACAAAAAATGAATTTGTAATGCAACTATGTATAATGCATTGTTATACCAAAGAAAGTCTAATTTCAAATATTTCATAGAAATAAAATTTAAATCAGACCTCGTTTAGGGTAACAATGCATATACTATATATTATTAATTGAACAATTAGTGACAAACAATTAAACCTCTGTGTTTTAAATTAGACTTTGTTTGGAATAACTTTATTTACACTTTACATATTACAATATTTTTAACATACACACACATTGGGTTTTTGGCCTAGGAATGAAAGCTACATAACGCTCTATAACCCCAGTGATCGGCCTTGACTATTTAAATCAGTTTCGACCCGCCAATCACATCGGCTCTCACAGTTTCTGCGGCAACCGAGCATCCAATCGCCAGCTCGCTGCTGTGTTTCCAAGATCACAAGTGTAGTAGGAGGCATGTGGGTGATGAGGAGAATCAAGGGAGGCAAGAGACATGAAAGAG